AAGATGTCTCATACAGGGCAGAGCACTAGAGGTTTCTCTGACCAAGGTTGAAAGTGGCCCTGAGTATGTGGGTATAAACGTGTATTTTCAAAAGGCAATTTGATAGCATGGCCGTCTAGCAAAATAACAATTTCAGGTTCTACCCCAGGGCCTATGACCTTCCCAGTCATGTGCTTTTGCCTGGGATTATACTTCCAGGCCTGAGATTCATTCCTGTAGAGCAGGCCTCAGATACAATCAGAATACAATTAGTCACCCCAATAACAGTCATGCCACTATTAGACTAGTGCTATTGGACTAGTAGAATCTCTTGCCTGGCACATTGGTACTACAGCATGTAGAACTCAGCACTGGGTAAGACCATTGATGTCTTTTCTTCCCCAGAGGCCGCCTATATGCCATGTTCTGGGACTACAAAAGCTAGCTATCAGGGAAGAAGTTTACAAGTGGGTTTGAAATTGATTTCTCTATACTCTGCAAACAAGTGTGCCATGTCCTCAGCAGTGGAGTTTTACCATGTAGTTATGGTATTTAACCAAGAGCAAAGATGATAGCCTGTGTTGTTTTAGAGACCTCTGAGGCCTCTCAACCAGTAACTTGTAGGGAGGTGTCCCGTATCTTGCAATATGATTTTCCTTTAACAATCCATGTCTTCTTGGTGCACATTGCCCACCAATACAGGGTAATTCCATTTCGAATTTATTTACTCTTTGAATGTTATAGTTTGAAGTTAGCTTACTAGTTAGTAAATCTTCATAAGGTTTTCTCGTGTATCCTTAGTTTTGGTTAGTCCATTACTCATTCATTTCCCTATTCCCCTGCCCACACCAACACTTAATGCTTCTCTATTCAGTTTTATAGCTCATCTTTAATGAGGTTATTATTTTAATGTTTAATTTTTTTAGTTCTTTGTGTACCCTAGACACGAATCCTCTGCCAGATGAGGAACTGGAGATGATGCTCTCCGATTCTGTGGGCTGCCTCTTCACTTGCTTACAGTTTGTTTTGATTTACAGAAGTCTTTTCTTTGCATGAGATCCCATTGGTTGATTTAGGTCTTATTTCTAATTGCTACTGGAGTCTAATTCTGAAAGCCCTATTGTGCCTGTAACTTCAAACATACTGTTTTATCTCCAAAGGTGAATGACCAGAGAGCTTTCTTTAAATTTATGGCCAGTCCCAGAGTGTTTTAACATAAAAACAGCATGCATTCCTGGAAACTGTACCTTTTGTCTCAGCCTTAACAGAGGGAACCAGGGTTCTTGTTCTCTAGAAATGGAGATGTCTTTTTAAAAATTGTGAGTGTGTGTGTGTGTGCATGTGTGCAGGAATGTGCATGCTATAGTGTCATGTGTTATTAGAGAACAACTCTTGGGAGTTGGTTCCTTTCTGTTATGTGGGATAAGGGTATTGGGTTCAGGTTTATCAAGCATGCCACCAAGTGCCCATCCACTGAGGAATCTTACCAACATACTCCTTGCTTTTTCCTCCAGCATTTTCAGAGAAGGATAACTGAGGGAGTGAGACTTACCCAGAATGTGCGCAGCAAATGTGGACTGGGGTTCTAGACTGAATATAAAATAATAAGACCAGCTAAGTGTCAACGTTTCCTATTCTGCCTCCTGACCTAGGAAGACATAAGGAGTCCCCACTTTCTCTGTTATTAACTCTGCCACACTTTCCCCACCACGGAAGACTGTAGAGCAAAATAAAACCTTCTCTTAAAAGGAAAGTTAATAATAAAGCCAAAATTCAGTAGGACTGTCACCTCCAACTCAGCATAAATCTGTCTTGTTAGTCCAGTCTTTATAGTTTTACACTTTTATCTAGATTCCCAACCTGTTCTTGTATGCCTCTGGGAATAATTCATGTAAATGACTCCTTGCTATTTCATTCTATCTTTTTCTTCTTATACTCACTCAATATTATGTTTTTTGATATCTAGCCATGTAGAGTTGGATAGATGATAGATGAAGAAAGAGATATGGAGTGCCTGTTTGTGTGTAAGAGAGAGATGGGTTAATAATACTTTAATAATAGCTTTTAATCTTAGTTTTGTGGATTCTTTCTTTAGAATATGAAATTATATAAGACATGCATAGAGATAAAGTGAACTCAATACTTATCCATCAAAAACACTCTAATTATTTTAGGGAGCAATAATTTTTTTTTAAAGATTTATTTATTTATTATGTATACAGTGTTCTGCCTGCATGTATGCCTGTACACCAGAAGAGGGCGCCAGATCTCATTACAGATGGTTGTGAGCCACCATGTGGTTGCTGGGAATTGAACTCAGGACCTCTGGGAGAGCAGTCAGTGCTCTTAACCTCTGAGCCATCTCTCCAGCCCCTAAATATTTTTAAATATAGTTTTTCTATAAAACATTCTATAACTTGTATAAAAGTTTTGTTAATATTTTAAGAGAATGAGAGGGTAGATTTTTGTATCTGTCTTCGTTTTAAAAGGTAGTAAGGAAAAGAAAAAAAAAAAGCTGAGTGATAGTGGCACAAGCCTTTAATCCCAGCACTCTGGAGGTGAGCCAGGCGGATCTCTGTGAGTTCGAGGCCAGCCTGGTCTACAGAGCCAGATCCAGGACAGGCACCAAAACTACACAGAGAAACCCTGCCTCAAAACACCAAAAAAAAAAAAAAGTGGTAAGATTTCCTGGAACCTGTAATCCAGCTGTTGGATTTCAGAGTTCAAGTCAAACTTGTCTTCAGGAATCAGAAATAAAGGCAAGCTCACACCAGTTTAACACCCTCTAAGTGTTGAGGAATGCTGAGCAAGGAATCCTGTCCTGGTATACTTAATTAAGGTCCTAGTCAAACAGGAGACTAGGCCATTTAATCCTATTTAACTTTCCCATGCCACTCATATAACCATAAACAACAAATTCTTATGTTCTTTGTTCTTTGTCTTCTTCTCTAGTTTGAAGAAGAACTTTTTGAAAGCCGTGAAGAATTTGAGAAGTTAATCCAAGGTGAGAGAGAACCGTTTTCGCTCCCAGTATTGCCAGAGGCCAGAGATGGTCATCCGCTCTTGTGAAAGGCCCCCCTCTGCTCCTCTCTCTAGTATTCCAAGAGAGCAGAGGAAGTCATGTGGACAGTAACTACCAGGATCCTATTTCTATGCAAGGAAGGCGCCACCTGGACCTTGCAAGTAGGAGGAGCGCACCCCCAACTTTCTAAGTTGCGATAATTATGACTCTCACCCTTCCCCCTAATTCGAGAAGATGCTTTCTGCTGTTGCTTCATGACATTGCCCTGCTATTACTTTTCAACTTTCAGGATATAGGCTAACTTCTTTCTTTCTTTCTTTCTTTCTTTCTTTCTTTCTTTCTTTCTTTCTTTCTTTCTTTCTTTCTTTATTTATTTATTTATTTATTTATTTTTAAGTTTTTTTTTTTTTTTTGGCTCTTCCAGACAAGGTCTTATGTCACCTAGGCTACATGAACTCATTATGTAGCTGAGCATGACCTTGAACCCTGATTCTTCATCTCCTGAGTGCTGGGATGACAGACGAACGCCACCACACACAGCTAACACCTTTATATTAAATTCTCTCTGCTAAAGTAAATTGTGTGGTTCAGCTTGCCTGTTAGATCCTAAATGATGAGAGGAGACTAGCCCAACCCACCCAACTTCAAAGATTATAAATGGAAAAATGCAGAACAAGCCTTACAGTTGCCCTTACTGGGTGGGTGGGTGGGGAGCGCAGAGCGGGTGAGGCAGAGACCGAGACAGAATTCTTTCTAACCAAAGAACCATTATCAGCTTACATTCCTTATCTAGTTGTGATTTCTTGGTTGGTTTGTTTTGCTACAAAGCATCTTGGGAAAGTTGAAGAAATAAGTCCAACGTAAATAACATCGCCCAGATGGGAGCTCACTTGTAGAAGGTGTTGTATTTTAAAAACAGCAGGCAGCAGTCACTGCCGGTGGGAGAAGCGGGAGAGTTTTATTGGTTGGAGGTATGGGGGTGTAGGGGGGGGGAGGGCGGAAGCAAGCAGAGGATGAGGAGAGAAGAAGAAAGAGAAGAGACAGGAAACAGGAAAGAGAGGAGGTGCAGATGCGACCTTGTGGGAAAAGAAAAGGAAGAGAGAGGAAGCAGGCGGGATCACGCCTTTTATGTGCAGCACATGCGCAGAGAGACCACAGTAGCAATGAGCGCATGATGCTGCCCGGACCCTGAGCAGGCCAAGGTACCACCTATGCACTGTCGAGCGCATGCGCGCAGGGATGATGCACCCTATTAGGTCCCCAAGGGGTGGGTCTGAATGCTAACAGAAGGTAAGAATATTTTCAATAAGAGCAAATTTCAAGAAAGACTTTGAATTTAGAGCGAGGGTCAATATTTACGTGTGTTCTCTGAAAAGCAATGGTGAGTGATAGATTTCATCAGTGGTATAGCATACGACTTCAGGAAGCAACCAGATGCGGAGGAGGGGTGGGTAAGAAGGCTGAACTCAGAATTACAACAGAGGGTGCAGTCAGAATTCAAAGGTAAACGGTGTCTAAATGAGTGTCCTGGCCATAGGGAAAGAGACTACGGAACTAGAAGGAACATGGGTCCAAAGGAATGCTTTGTATCCAAAATGTCCCCAAATATCCAAAAATTGACCCAAAATGTCAAATATCATGTTTTATTCTCAATATAATATTTGGTTAAAGAATACATATTTTGCCGGGTGGTGGTGGCGCATGCCTTTAATCCCAGTACTCAGGAGGCAGAGCCAGGTGGATCTCTGTGAGTTCGAGGCCAGCCTGGTCTATAGAGTGAGTTCCAGGAAAGGCGCAAAGCTACACGGAGAAACCCTGTCTCAAAAAACAAAAACAAACAAACAAAAAGAATACATATTTCTCCTCTTAGTTTCTAGAAAGTACTTTAGTAAATGGATTATGTGGTCCTATTTCATAGAGTCTTTAGAATAAAAGGAAATGTAGTTACCACTCTGAAGACAAATAAATAATCTAGCTTCCCATTGTGTATTTTAAGGTGGAGCCCTGATGTATGAACAAGTGCCCATGGTTGAAATCGATGGAATGAATTTGGTGCAAACGAGAGCCATCTTAAGATACATAGCTGCAAAGTACGACTTGTATGGAAGAAACCTGCAAGAACAGGCCTGGTACAAAGACCGTTTGTTACTTAGAGCAAGAGCCAAAGAAAAACAACAACAAACCCCATCCACAACCAGAGCACTAACATTTAGCATCATTAGAAGCCATATTCATAGTGTAGATCTTGATAGACTGATACAAAGCCTGCTTTTGCTTCATAGTGTGATAGACTGATACAAAGCCTGCTTTTTGCTTTTTCTCTTTACTGGAAGAATCTGTTATAACAAGTTCCAAAGAGAAAGAATGTCATGATAGGCCCCATTCCACAACATTTACCTTCAACAATAATTAATTTGGGTCATTACTATGGTTTTAATTTTTTCCCCAGTGCTTTGTTTAGCTTTCATTAGTAGAGGGAGTGAGCTATGATCTCATGAATCCATGTTTGCCTCTATCATGTAGGAATGGTACACAGGAATATATCACAAGCACACTGACTCATACATTTATTTCGGGGGCAGAGCTCACTTAACCCTGTAAAGCCAAGACTGGAAGTGGTTGTAGGAAACCACCTCTTCAGATCTCTGCTTACATCAGCTGCTCCGCCCCCGGCCTCGCCCCGCCCCCAACCTTGTCCCGCCCCCAGCCTCGCCCCACCCCTGGCCTCCTATACACAATCTAATCTTTCAAGCTTGCATTAGGCCGTCTATGATTGGCAATCCTGCCTCTAAACTCCAAGCTCGTCTCTTATCTAGAAGTTAAAGCAGCAACTCTAAGTTGAAAATTATTATGTGTATTTGATAAACACTGTTGGGAGGGCGGGGGGAACAGTCCCTTAATACTCCATGAGGTGTATTTTAAATGAATCGGTCGAATCGGTTGTGACATTGTTTTATTTCAAATAGCATTTAAAGAAATGTCCAAGAAAACTGACACAGAGCCAATTTTTATAGAGTGTTCTAACATTAAATATTTACTGTAAGCACTGCCCTTTTCCCAACAGTCTTTGTTAAATTTCTTCTGTTTTGCTGGGGTGCAGTTTATTGTGTTCCTCTGTCTTTGTATTTTTGTGCATTGCTGGCTGCATTGGGAGAGATTACCAGATTCAGGGTCTAGGGTGTGTTACTAGACTATTACTGCTGTCCCTCTATGAAGAAGTAGAAGAAACTGTCTGTGTATCCATCTTTAATGATATTAGTAGCTATTGGTGCTCAATGCTATTGTTCGTTCCACATTTAGTATTTAGGATAATTATATTTAAAAAGGCCTTCCATCATTTACTCTTTAGTACATGGAGGCATAGTTTCCTATTAAAAAGAGCATTGGTGGTAGGTAGGTCTTTTGTTTACTTGTTTTCCACAAAATGAGCTGGTTCACCTGTGTTCTGTAACAGTGACCAATTTTTATTTTATGTATTTATCATTTTAGTGTTGCTATGCCCCCATCCCTTTAAGCATTTTTTGATATATTTAATCTTATTTCAGTTGTTGTTCTCGCTTATGTTTAAAACGTCCTACTTTTGGCCAATGGGACTGAGTGACTCTTTTTTTAAAATTTTATAATTTAATTTAATTTTACATATCAGCCACGGATACTCTTGTTCTCCCTCCCTGCCTTCCCCTCATTCCCATCTCCTCCAGGGCAAAGACTCCCCTGAGGATTGAGTTCAACCTGATAGATTCAGTCCAGGCAGGTCCAGTCCCCTCCTCCCAGTCTGAGCAAAGCGTCCCTGTATAAGCCCCAGGTTTCAAACAGCCAACTCATGCACTGAGGACAGGTCCCGGTCCCAGTGCCTGGATGCCTCCCAAACAGATCAAGCTAATCAGCTGTCTCACTTATCCAGAGGGCCTGATCCAGTTGGGGGCTCCTCAGCTATTGGTTCATAGTTCATGTGTTTCCATT